TACAAATCAGTCATAAATTAACATAATCACAGTTAACACTTCATCAGTCAGGAACCAGGAATTCAGCCAAAAAACAAAGCAAAACACAGAAACATCCTGAGTGATATAAGAAAAAGCAAAGAAAAATTGAATTCTGCACAGTGAGACCTCATCAGGCCCATAAGACTTCACTATTACTTGTTAAAACATGTCGAGTACGACGAGTCCTATTGCCCCATAATCACTGATAAACACAAAGCTGAGGATATACAGACATCAAGGATCAAATATGTGTAGAGTCAGGCATGGTTCTGACACCCTAATCAGCACCATCCTTCCATTATCTAAGAGCAGTTGACAGAGGAAAAGAACCAGAAGTCTTCCAAGTCTTCAGGGGGAAAGGAAGGAGGTCTTCATCCAAAACAGTGGCAGGGGCCTCCCAGAGAAATCACCCACCAGAAGGGCCTAGAAGATCAGAAGGGCCTAGAAGACACTTGCATCCATTCTCCAGCTTCATGTCTGCTTATGCAGCAGACTGACTGACCCTGCATGTCTACTTGAAAAGGCGGACAAAGAGAACTGATGAGAAATGGCAGGGCTCGGAAAGAAGGCAGACTTAAGTGGTCTGTATGCCACCATTTTGCATCACGAGGAAGTGAGCTTCCAGTGGGTTGAATGGAAACCATAGAGTACCGGGGACTGGAGTTGTTCTGCCATTATCAAAATACCTGGCTGCAAAGAGAAAAGATCTCCACCAGGACTCACGCACATTCACACAACCAGTGGGTAGACTGACAGGATGGAAGCAAGCAGATGGGTGTGTAGGTTGTAAAAGGTTTAGCTATAGAAAATTTCATATCCAGAAACTGTGCAGCAGGAGTCTCCCTGCAAGATCTCACCAAAATGCCAGCTTGGTTGCCTATCACTGGACTGCAATGGCCTGCCATTGTTAATCAAGTGAAGACTTTAATAGCACCAGATAACAAACACTTGTCTTTTTCCACTTCTCTTCTTGACAAGTTAGTATCCAAGAAGATCCCTCAAGAGTGAAAGGAAAGAGTTATCCCAGGAGCTTACCATAAGCCCTCCAGACCCCAAGTGCTTCAGGAAGTAAGTGGCCTGACCATGCAGAAAGAAAGAACCTTTAAATTGAATATGAGATTAAAGGTTCAAACTGAAATAGACTGGAGTAGTTTTTTGTTTTGTTTTGTTGTTGTTGTCGTTGTTGTTGTTGTTGTTTTTGAGACAGGGTCTCACTCTCCTGTCACGCAGGCTGGAGTGCCGCAGCACGATATCTGTTCACTGCAATCTCTGCCTCCCAGGCTCAAGGGACCCTCTCACAACAGTATCCCAACTAGCTGGGACTACAGGCACATGGCACATGCCGCCATGCCCGGCTGATTTTTCTATTTTTTGTAGAGACAAGGTTTCGTCATGTTGCCCAGGCTGGTCGCAAACTCCTGGGCTCAAGCCATCCTCCCACTTTTGCTCTCTGAAGTGCTGGAATTACAGGTGTGAGCCACTGAGCCCAGGCTAGAGCTTTTTGATAACTGTAAATGATAGAAAAGCTATCATTTACCCATGTTATGGAGGACAGGGGACAGCACAGTGGGAGATAAAGAGCCTACAAAATATAGTTAAAGGCAGTGAATGGGGAAAAAGAAAACTCTTATGTTTGTTCTCAGTAAGCTTGGACTGCTGAATAACCGGATGACGTATACAACAGCATTTTCACCCTTAATAATGGGATGGGACACCTGACATGGAAGTTCTCATGAGGGATTTACTGTACTGGGTAAGATGCTACATTAGAAGCCTTCTGAGATCACTTCCAATTCTAATACCTGTGATTGTCTTTTCTTTCAAGAGGTTAAACTGAATCCTGAATCCAGAATCTAGAGTTCAATGGTTAAACCATAAAAGGCTAGGTTGCCTAAAGGGCTAAAACCCAAATAGAGGCTAAAGCTATCATATCAACAAGTCTGATAAGAGTTCCATGTAGGAAACAATATGTTGCTCTAAAACTTATTTAATTAAAAAAAATCCTAAATGACTAATTTTCTTTTATATTCAACAAAAATCCCAGTTCAAAGAAAGCTTATAAAATCCTCCAAACCCCATCTTCCTGAATAAGATCAATTCAACTAATTAAAAGTTCTACTAAAATAAATAGCAAACATATGTTTGCTTAAGCATCTTCTAGGAATAGCAAACTCACATATCCCTTATTAGACAGTACCCACAAGGAAAAAAGTTACTTAGGGTCAAATGGTCGAATATTGCTCATTAAGTGGAAGACAGTTTCCAGTGCTATAACAAATAATATGCTTTATGTTTACATAAAAACATCCCATATTTTTATGTTTCTAAAAATAAGCATTATAGACAATCATTTAAAGCTTTCAAGTTTCTGCATTTTCTGAAAGCCTTCCTTTTGGATACCATGTTGATAAATTCTTAAATGCTGTGTATGTACTCACAAATGGTCAAAAAATCTAAAACCAAATCTTAATATTTATCTCCTACTGAAGTTATTTTATTGTATCACTGAAGATCTAAAAGGATTTTTTAATCTTGAAAATTAAATTTTAATATTACCAAAAATTGCTCCAGTATGAGAAAAAGTAATTATATGTATATTACCTCAGCTCACAGTTGGAATCAAATAGGAAATACTTTAAGGCAGTTAGTACCATCAGACTGAAAATTTTCTAATAAAAGCAGTGTTACTATTGTTACAATTACTACACTATATTCAGAAAACTATCTTCCCCACTCTCAAATAAGTTATTGAAACAAGAATGAGGACGTGACATCAAGCAATGTATCAATGTCAAAGTATGAGTTAAATTATGCTAATAAATTATTTCTTAGATTTCATCCTGAGTTACAAATTATCACACAATTAAAACAACTTTGGGATTTGCAGCATGACTAATAATAATAGTAAAGAACTTCCAGGCTTAAGTCAAAAAGCCATTTTAAAAAAATCTCCATTAAATGTTTTGGGAAAAGGTCCCCATAAAAATATAAAATGTTTCCACCTTTCTCAGATGTCTTCCTAGGAGTCGTCAATATTGTTACAGACCATAGGTTAGCAACCAGTACTTGACTATTGGCCACAATGACTTTTTAAAGAAAAAAAAATCCATCGCTATTCTTAACATCCTTAAACACTTCTAAAAAGGTCCTTCCTGCTTATGAACTCATGGCAGTTTCCTCACAATTGTATACTTATCCTGTTTCACTGTCTCTCCTAGTCTATGACAAACTCAAATTTACACACCAACTTTCCTATGTGGTTACACTGCTAAAACTGGGGAGAAAAAAGATACAAACCTGCTACTTTCCCCCCTCCCAAAGCAACAATGAAAATACTCATTAAGATAGATTGGAAGGTCCGCGTGCACGCGGTGTGTATGTACACACATATATTTATATATTTTTTCTTAATGTCACACAAGTTATCCACTGGTGGATAAACTCACAGCTATTTACCTTGATACAGGTATAAGCTAAAAGAGAAACCATACAGTGTAGGGTTAATGGCACTATAAAATAAATTAACTATTAATTCAAATTGTCAAGCTATTTAAATACCCTTGTTTAAATTTCTCTTGTCACAAGTGTGTCAACATGAAAAATTAAGAGAGTGAAAAATAATAGGCTTTTGGTCGGAATAAATCGTAAATTATTTTTAATATAACAGGTCTTCAAGTTCTTCAGATTGTGAAGAAAAACATAGTTTTACAAAACAATCATATAACTCTTACCCAAACTTTGCTCTAAATGGTTTCGATGGCATCAAATTAACATAGTAAGTATGCTAGCTGAGTACTTGGGGAAATAAAGCAGACTCATCAGGAGTTCTAAGATAAAAGACAATGGTGTAAACTTCACAGGTCGGTATTTGTTCCAGTCATTAAACACACAGGAAATCAGATTTTCTGTTTAGAAAACTAATTCACAAGGGGCAGTGACTTCATTAAGACACAGAAAATCTTATTAAAACAGCCAACAATCCATCGTAAAATAAGAAAACAATTATCGCAGAATTGGAAGCTGGAACAGACTAGGAAAACGCATACACCGCCTGGATTATGTGTTCCTTGAACCTTTTCTTGCACTGCCCCCAAAGAGAGCGAAGGAGTTTCATTATTTATCCGCCCAGACCACGGTAGATGCTCTGCTAGGGGGCACACCCAAAGGCAGTAAACGCTGTAAGCAACAAGACCGCTTTCTTTATGACAACACTTTCCCCTCTTTCCAGGAGGGTCAATAGAAAGCATCTGAAACAAACCACAAACCGCTCAGGACCTCCCCAAAGCTCTGCGGTTGGCAGCCGGCCTCGGCGTCGAAAGACCTTGGTCTGGTCGCCTCTCCGGTGCCACCTGCGTGACCTTGGGCAAGTCGCTTTCAACCCTGCCTCTGGCCACCTGCCCCGAAGGTGCGAAGGTAAATCGCTGACACCGCCCGACTTCAGGGCCCAAGGCGGAGCCGGCTTCGGCCTGGGCGAGTCCCGAAGCCCAAACGCTGAAACACCAGGAAAGGATGCCCGGCGCCGCATGCCCGGCGGGCACAGCCCTGGAGAGAGCCTTTCCGACCGGCACCGCCGGGAATCCCCGGGCAGCCGCGCGCACCGCGCCCCTAGCGGGACTTCTCGGGGGGCGGAGAAGCCGAGAAGCTCGTGGGACCCGCGACCGCTGCCGGCCTCCCGCCCTCTCCGCCGGGCGCCGCCGAGGGCTGAGGTCGGGAAAACAATCGCGGACCCGCGGGAAGAAGACGCCGGCCCCTCCCGCCGCCCGAGCCCGGGCAGGTGAGCGGGCCAGGCGGCCTCCAGGTGCAGCGGCGCGCGGGGCGGAGGTGCGCGGAGGGGACGCCGGCCCCGCACTCACCCGCGCCCCCGGCCCCTAGGCGGACGCCTCCCCGCTCGCCCAATCCCGCAGCCACTGCCGCCTCGCGCCCGGCCCCGGCCCCCACCCCCGCCCCAGCGCGGCGGCGTCCCTCGCGCCAAACTTTACCGGGGCCTCTGCCCGGAGCACCCGCGCCGCCGCGGCCCCGGCTCCTACAGACGCTCGGCTGCCCAGAGCGGCGTCCACGACGGTCCGCCGGCGCACTGCGCACGCGTCTCCGCGCGGCCTCAGCCCCCAGACGGCGGCTGAGATTCCGGAGCCGGCGCTTCCAGCTCGCAGAGACTACGAGTCCCGGCAGGCCCCGCGCGGGTCCGGACGGCGTGGCGGGCCGGGTGTTGGGCGTCTTCCTACTTCCAGGGGCGGAGGCCTCGGCGCGCCGGAGAGGGCTGCGCGAGGAGCTCTGGGCCGCCACGCCGCGGTGCTTCCTGGGAATCGTAGTTTTCGAACACCACGGGGCTTGGCTCAGAGGTGGAACTCCGGCCTCTCTGATGTCATCGCCTAGAGCTGCGGGGCACAGGGATCTTTAAAAATAGGCTTCGTTAGTTTGCAGATAATTTGTTTGCAAGCTGTCCCATAATCAGTCCAAGTGGCACAAATTCGCAGGCTGCGGTGTGACCTGAAGAAAAACGCTTTACAGCTCTGCGCGCCAATTTTTCGCTCTTAACCATTTCTCCCTCCCTGCAAATGTAGCTCCACCTCCTACTTACAATGGTGTTAATAGTACATGAAGATAGGAGAAACTTAAAGAAGGATTAGTCGAAATTCTTTTAGCAAGGGGGGAGCATAAATATGTATCGCGGTAAATATTTGTTAAATATTGAGTATTTAACGTATTTCTCGAGCACTTACTGTGTTCCAACTACGTGATAGGCAACCAGACATTCAACTGAGAGAGAGAGACTGTCGCTGCCCTCATGGAGCCTGCAGCCTGCAAGGCAGAAACTTCCGCAAACAAGCAAAATCGTTACCGATTTTAATAGAATAGCCAGACTGAGAAAGTTCAAGAGACAGTAGCGATGGGGGCGGGGGTGGCTCTTCAGAGAGGGTGACAAGGAAAGTTCTCTCAGGATGTGATTTGTGAGCTGAAACCTGAAGAATGAGTAATATTCAGACATGCAAAGAACTGGGAAAGAATTACATGCCACGCCTTTCACAGTGCATGCCACTCTAGGCTCTTAACAAATAGTTGTTTTTTGTGTGTGCTTCTTCCTCTCCTCTCTCCGCACAACCTTAGGTCACATCCTATCCCCTTCAAACCCTTTAAAAAATCTTTAGCAACGTCTTTCAGAATATCCTTCCTATGTGAAGATGTACATGAAACAAAACATGAAACAAATGTCCAGTGGTAAGACAGGCTGTACAGCTGCTAGGACAGAAGACGCAAGCCTGGTGACAGGCTGGAATCTGACTACTTAGCCACTTCTTTATTTGAGAACTGGGTTAGAAGTCTGGGCGCTCAGCCTGGACTCCTGACTTGTTTTCTGTTCATGGGGCATCATGTAGGATTTTGAGTTTGTCTCTATTAAAATCTTAAGGGAGCTTACCTATTATCTGAATCAGAGGTGCGGTGAAGAACGGTGCTAGATTTTCCTGTATAGACTTACCTATGTGACTTTATGCAGAGAGTGACACTTTGCCATTCTGACCCTCAGTGACCTCAATTGTAAATGAATGTCATCCACCCTGCCTGCCTTACAGAATGTTTTCAGAGGCTGATAAATTGATGGAGGTGAAAACCTCTTGCAAACTCAATAGAACGCTCTAGGACTGCCTCTTTCAGACTGAGCATTTTCAGTTGCATTTCATACAACGTGATTGTTCGATTATCTTTTGAGAAACCTTAACTATGCAGCCTTTCTGACACCTGTCTCTTTTGGGGGCCTCATCTGTGTAATGGTTGAAAGGATTGGGCCTCACTATAGTTTATAAAGTAGCCAGAGCAGATTGTTTCCTTTGGTCCACATAGTGGGTTTTTGTTGATTTAACTGATTCAATGTCTAGTTAACTTTTAAAAATAAAAATCCAGGTGTCACTTATCTTAACCCTCTAGGCATTTGAGTTTGCCTTCCCTGGCTAGCAGGTCTGGAAGGAGTCTCTAGCCTTTCAGCACTAGAATCCTAAGTGCTGGGATTACAGGTGAGAGAGCCTCTCACCCTCTGGAGGCTGGACCCACAGGGGATCTCTCTCCTGAATGTTGTTTGACACCATTGATGAGTGGCTTAAAATTGTTCCTTTGGCCAATGTGGTGGCTCTCATCTGTAATACCAGCACTTAGGGAGGCCAAGGTGGGTCAGGAGTTTGAAACCGGCCTGGCTGACATGATGAAACCCCCTCTCTACTAAAGAAATACAAAAATTAGCCAGGCGTGACGGTGGGCACCTGTAGCCCCAGCTACTCAGGAGGCTGAGTCAGAAGAATTGATTGAACCCACACAGTGGAAGTCGCAGTGAGCCCAGACTGTGCCACTGTGCTCCAGCCTAGTGGACAGAATGGGACTCAAGAAAAAAAAAATTGTTCCTTTGTTATTTTTGCATAACAAGCCCCCGGAATTGTTTGTCACTGAGAGCCATATTTACATACAATGAAGAAAGCCAGAAAAGTAACTCAGTTTGCCCAAGAACACAGAAGATAATATCAGGACTGCTTTGAGGTTGCAATATAACCAGAACTTGATAGCTCTCGATCAGCCAATAAATACAGAGAACAAAAAAGAAAAAGAAAAAGAAAAAAAAGCCCTCTGCTTTCCACCTTTTTTTTTTTTTTTTTTTTTTTTGGATGCAGAGGTTTATTACATAACTGTGCTTTCACTGTTATTTAAAAAAAAAAAAAAAAGTACGAGGAAACTACAGTCTGGGAGCAAACCAAGAACACTCAGGACCCACTGAAGGCACTGAGGAATGCTGGAATATTCCATGGCTACTTTTCATCTGAAGAAAAAGGAGTCTGAATTCAAGGATCTGCAATTTAGCAGTTTACCTTTTTTTTTTTTTTTTGAAGAGTCGTGCTTTGTTGCCCAGGCTGGAGTGTAGCGGCACAATCACCGCTCACTGCAACCTCTGCCTCCCGAATTCAATTGATTCTCCTACCCTAGCCTCCCAAGTAGCTGGGTTTACAGGTGCCTGCCACCATGCCAGACTAATTTTTGTATTTTTAGTAGAGTCAGGGTTTCGCCAGGTTGGCCAGGCTGGTCTCAAACTCCTGACCTCGAGTGATCCACCTGCCTCGGCCTCCCAAAGTTCTGGGATTACAGGCGTGAGCTACTGTGCCTGGCCTGCATTTTAGCTTTAAAGTATCACTGTCATCATTATCATCATGCTTTCACATGTGAAATATTTTGATGTTTCATTCAAAAATAGCTCTTGAGCCCCTTCTATTTGCTTAGCGCTGGGCTCTGGAGCCTCCAGACAGGTATCAGCCCCTTAGACAACACAAAGAGCAGTGTACAGAGGCACACAGAAGGTTCCTGAATACTGGTCGTTTCTTTAATATTTGATGCCTGCAGCATTTCCTGCATTAATTTTCCCCCCAGCAATGGTCACTTTCCTACATATTCTGTATGTGCATATTCTAGCTTTTCAACAGTAGAATCCTAGATGATTACAGATGGGAAATTTGAGACATGCTTGAATGTAAAAGACATTCCTTATTTATTTGAAATTCTAAGTCAAATTCACATCTTTTATTTGATCTGAAAATGCTCGTCCTGAGAATAGAACACTTACGCCAAGAGCCTCTCACCCTCTCCAGTCTGGACTCACAGGGGATCTCTCTCCTGAATGTTGTTTGACATCATTGATGAGTGGCTTAAAATTGTTCCTTTGGCCAATGTGGTGGCTCTCACCTGTAATCCCAGCACTTTGGGAGGCCGAGGTGGGTGGATCACTTGAGGTCAGGAGTTTGAGACCATCCTGGCCAACATGGTAAAACCCCTTCTCTACTGAAAAAAAAAAAAAAGATACAAAAATTAACCAGGCGTGATGGTGGGCACCTGTAGTCCCAGCTACTCAGGAGGCTCTGGCAGGAGAATCAATTGAAACCACGCAATGGAGGTTTCATATATACATATATGGGATTACACATATATATATGTAACGATAGAGGTTACATATATATGAGATTATATCTCTACATGTAATCCCATATATTATATATAAATAATAATCCCATATTTATATATATTATATTACATATATATTATATATAATATATACATACAATATATATATTTTATATATAATATATATATAGTTTGCATATCCCCTAAACTGTAACCTCCACATGGACAGGGATTTTATGTTTTTTTCCTGCTGCATCCTTAGTGCCTAGAACAGAAGTATGTGTTGAATGATGAATGACACAGACCCCTTGATGGACACAGCCAGCATCAGAAGCCAAGCAGAAGAAGTACCTCCAGAAGTAAACCTCTGTTCTAACCAGAAATCAGAACCAAAATAGAACAAAAATTAAACATGAACCAAACACTCCAAACCCAGCTTTGTTCTTCTTGTGTCCCCTCCAGAAACTGGGTAGCAGAGAGTTAAAAATGGCTCTTTCCTACTTTTCAGTGTAAAAATGGCACAAGAACTCCAGGCAGGGAGTCAGTGGGGTTGCTTCTGTGGGTGAAGAGTCAGAGCTGGCTCTCTGACCCCGCTATACAACTGGCAACAACCACGTGAGGGGAAGCGTGATTCTCAGTCATCACCCCGATCGGGCAGAGACTAAGTGACCTTCCCAGATTACCAATCAGGTGACTGGAGTCTCCTTCTGGAGATAATTCTTGCATCCCAGGGCCGGGGCACAATCCTCCTTTCAGGAAAGACTGTCCACATTTTATGCTTACCGAGGTGCAAGGGTAGGAGTTCTGAATAAGTCAGCAACCAGCCTAAATTCCAGGCCCACAAACGGAAAAACAACAACTGAGCATCTGGGGAGATGCTTGCCTCCAAGACTTGTAGAGGAGCAGAACTAAATCTTTCCTGCCACAGGAGTTTCAGACAACAAGGGAGGGAGCCCAACACTGAACATCTGGGTGGGACAGGATATGAAATTGCTGAATGCCACTGGGGTTCTAAAGGTCCGAGCAACCCTGTGATCTCTGGGGGTCTGGTGAGGTTCCAGCTGCATCTACACCCTAGTTAGGTGATGCATTAATTGCCCTGACCACATGTGGCAGGCCTGGGATACTGGTAAGTCCTGAAAGTGCAGAGCACAGAATGCTTGCTGTCATCCAAACATGTGGACTCTTGCTCCATTGTGGTGTGAAAACTTGAAAAACAAGATTTTCTGAA